GTCATCTCCTTCTCTCTGATCTTAAATCTCTTGGGATACAATATTTCCAAGCAAATTTCATTCAAACTTTTGTCATCTCCTTCTCTCTGATCTTAAATCTCTTGGGATACAATATCTCCAAGCAAATTTCATTCAAACTTTTGTCATCTCCTTCTCTCTGATCTAACTTCAAAATCTAATTAAGATTTTGTTATGTGTCCTATTTCTAGAAGATTATACAGGATATCAAAAAGCACTATTTTACTTTTTTGTGCGCTCCTACTCTTCTATTTGATGAGGAAACTGAAGGTGTTATTGTTCTTAGTGCAAAGCTACACAATGGACTATCTTCACCCTATCCACTGCGAGAAATTAAAAATCGGATTTTTGCGTTGCAAATCCATAAACAACAAAAAATGTACTTACATGAAGGATTAAAAAATAATCCAAATGAAAAAGTGATTTGAATTTTAGTGAAACACTGTAACTTTAAGAGGAAATTTACAACTGCATTTCTATTTAATTAATTTAATGAATTTTAATATAGGAATATTCCTGAAAGGTTTTTAATGAAATACGATTTTGTTAATGGGTCTGTTTTTATTTCAAGTTTTGATGCTAAAAACGTATGTTTGACGCAAGATTTTTTTTATACCAGTCTTTGTATACAATATTACCTGTGCGAAATGTTACCCAAGTAATATAAAAAACTAAGTTTCCTGATATTGTTGAATTACATTTCTGAAACTGAGAATACTTATCCCGAAAAATATGTGTGTTCAAGAATCTAAAATATTCGTTTAAATGATTATTTTCCATACTTTAAGGTATATTAAGTCAGGTATTATTTTTTGAAACGAAGGTTATTATAATTTTCGTTATTAAGGCTTTTTTTTCATATGCTAACACAACAGACAATTTACTCTAATTTAGTTTTTGCTGTCTGTGAAAAAGAAGTATATAATTAATCTTGATTCTGACTGGACTTAACTTTAACAGATATGTGTGGTTGGCTTTTATTGAGGACGGAATAAAGAACATTGTTTACCTGTTACTTATCTTAAAATGTCTTATTTCAGTTTTTCTCTGCTTAGTCTGAATTAACTTGTATGTATCCTAACCTCTATAACGGGAATGTAGTTTTAGTCTGAATCAACTTGTATGTATCCTAACCTCTATAACGGGAATGTAGTTTTAGGATGGATACATTGTTATTCGGCAAAACAAAATATAACCAAATAGGCAAGTCGCTTGTAGACTAATAATAGATATCAGTCAGATTCAAAATTTAATATAGAAATTTTAAGTTTACTACAACAATTTGTAAAGTAAATATTCATGAAAAAAACTGAAGGTGAGACATGGCGGGATTTAAACCTAGATTTAAATTTAGGCAATCCAGCTATGAATGTCGCGACTCTTATTTTACACTTCACTGTTATTAACGATGGAATTTTGTTGGACCACTGACACTACTCCAATCGTTTTATCATGTTCTGAATCCATTTCTAGCCATTTCTTTGGGAGTTCAACATCTTAAATCGACACTTCCTACAGCTAAAAAAAGACAGAAAACAGATTTTGAATTTTACAATCCGACTGACATTGCTCAAGAGCCCTCCTAAATGACCTTTTCAAGGGTTCATAACTCACCTCCCTTTGCCTCAAAAAGGCGCTTTGCACTTTGGGGCCCCCCAGTGGCACAGTGGTATATCTGCGGACTTACAACGCTAGAATTCGGGTTTCGATACCCGTGGTGGGCAGAGCACAGACAGCCCATTGTGTAGCTTTGTGCTTAATTACAAACAAATAGGACTTTGGGACTATGGGTTCACTACAAGAGTAGTGATAAAATCTCATTATTCAGTCAGAGAAGAATAGTAATGAGGGTGATCTATCAGGTCAAAATTAGAGACGACAATGCTGCGCAAATACCACTTTGCACTAAAAAATTTAAAAACAGCAACAAAATACTAAGAGCTATGGTAGTTGACTAAAGCATTCGCCTTGTGTAATTAGAGTCTCTGGTTTAAATCCTAGCTCCCAAGTGATTGTTACTTTAAGTATGTAACTCAAGAAATAATATTTTTAACTAGCGTTGTGATTGATTTCTATTAACGACCAGTTAAAATTATTGACCGAGATATGTTATTTCTGATTTATACAAATTCTTACAGTGTCAAGTCTCAAGTGTTATCGTTGTGGAACTTACAATCAAGAGGGTACCGGATCAGTAGCTCCTTGTTATGATTTTAACAAAACACACCTAAAAGACTGTCCCCCCTCAGAAAACTCGTGCATGGTGAGTAAGATTTAACAAAACCCACCTAAAAGATTGTCCCCCCTCAGAAAACTCGTGCATGGCGAGTAAGATTTAACAAAACCCACCTAAAAGATTGTCCCCCCTCAGAAAACTCGTGCATGGCGAGTAGGATTTAACAAAACCCACCTAAAAGACTGTCCCCCTCAGAAAACTCGTGAATGGTGAGTAGGATTTAACAAAACATACCTAAAAGACTGTCCTCCTTCAGAAAACTCGTGCATGGTGAGTAGATTTTAACAAAACCTACCTAAAAGACTGCCTTCCTTCAGAAAACTCGTGCATGGTGAGTAAGATTTAACAAAACACACCTAAAAGACTATCCTCCTTCAGAAAACTCGTGCATGGTGAGTAGGATTTAACAAAACCCACCTAAAAGATTATCCTCCTTCAGAAAACTCGTGCATGGTGAGTAGGATTTAACAAAACCCACCTAAAAGACTGTCCCTTCTTCAGAAAACTCGTGCATGGTGAGTAGGATTTAACAAAACCCACCTAAAAGATTATCCTCCTTCAGAAAACTCGTGCATAGTGAGTAGGATTTAACAAAACCCACCTAAAAGACTGTCCCCTTCAGAAAACTCGTGAATGGTGAGTATAAATTAATAAAATACATCTAAAAGACTGATTCTCCTCAGAAAGATCCTGATGGTAAGTGCAATTTATTCTATCATTACAAGATTATCATTGTCGATCATATGATATTTAAAAAAAGGAAACTTTCTGAATGGGATTAAGATATTCAGTTGGTGAAAGTTATAAACAAATTAAAGTAAATATTTGTGTAATAAATAAAATTAAGTTGGACTGTATTTTAGATCAAAGGAAATATTATTACCTTAACCAGAATATATAATATTTTAATGTTTGATTTTACCAATTTGACATTCCAACAGAAAGAATATGTTGAAAATGGTAAATAGAAATAATTATTTAAAAGGGTTTTTTTCACAATTCAATACGTTCTTTAAACAAATTCTTGTTACTTTTAAAAGTACAAATGTATGAGACAAAAATGGCACTCAATAAATGAGGTTGACAGCTGACTGACTAACGCTCAGAGATGTTTCAAACGTGGAAAGAAAAGATTCTCTTTGACGCGTAAAGAAGATATGTCAGAAACTCTGCACCAAATCTTAAATTTGATTTGGCAGAAACAGCATCAAAATCCTCAAGAATAATGTAAGGAAGAGTGCAAAGAATACACTACAATACACTGCATTTTAAATGTTGATACCGTCAATCCCACGTAGCGTCGCCGTCAACACCGTCAAAGTGATAAACATCAGAAGAGCTTTGAAGTGTAATAAGTTTCCTTTTGAAATACGGCCGAGCGCGGCACAGAGATTAGCGTGCAGGATTGCGGAGCTGAAGTTCTGTGGTTTGCGTCCCGTTACATCGCGATCCTAACTTTGAGGCTGTGGATGTGTTATAAGAGTGACAGTAAAATCCCATTAAACCAGTTTAAGAAGAATAGTACAAGAGAGGGCGTTTTTACCAACTCCTTAACTCTAAGTCTATCACTTTAAAATTAGGGGCGGGTGTACACAGATAGCCCTCTGCTAGTTTTGCACGAACATTCTGGAACAAACAAACATTCTTTATAATACGAAAATACTGCCGAAGTGTCAAAATTTGTTTTATTTTATTGTAATTTACGCGAAATCTAACAAACATTTTGAAACAAAAAAATATTCTGACGAACCTGAGATTCAAACACAAATTTTAATGATTAACTTGTTTTACCATTCTTTGCTAACTGAATACCATACTGTATAAGATGTTATGATTTTCTGCATAGCTTCCAATGTTCAAAATTTTAAATATTATTGTTATTTTTGCATTGAATGTTTGAAAATAAAGATTGTAGCGGTTACAGCATTCTACCAAAGTGTTTTTTTGAGAGCAATAAAGTATGTGGGTCCTCCATACATAATATTTTACTCGTATTAATGTTTTAACTACATGTAAGTTTAGAAAAGCCAAATCTTTAGTCATTTTATTTTGGTATTTATTATCTATTTTTCTTCTAACACTCTTAAAGATCCGACCCAAGATGTTCAATATCCCGAAGAATGCTTAAAATTGTTTATGTAAATCTGTCCAATAAAACCAGTGTGAGACAGGCAAGAAACGTACCTTCGCTGTCACGAAGTTTTTAGAAGTAATCCCAATAACTTCTTCAGAGGTTTATTTGAAAACACTTCAACTTTAAATTGGAAGCGATCTTTCTAGTTGAAGATTAACCTTCCTGAACATTTGAAGATCTCACAATTTTCGAATGTTTATAACTAACAGTTTGTTTACTTTCTCTAAGTCTCGAATAACTTCGCGAAATTTGTTGCAATAAATTTGTTTCAGAGAATTTTTGGTCCTACTTTAACTGTAGTTTTTGTTATATAAATACAAATATAAAGAGCTATTTAATATAAATTACTGATATCGAGACACTTTCGACAAAGTAAGGACACATGGCTTTAAGAATTCCCTCTACGTGTGCTCTCTTGTAGCTCATATTACGCTTTTATGTCATTGATGATAATACAAGATTGGAAAAAAAAACACGGAGAAAGTGAAACAAACAAAGTTAAATAAAAATGAATAAAAGAAAAAGTAAGAAATATTTTTTCAAGTGCTATTGTTGATGAGATTGTGTGGGACGGCATGGCCAGGCGGTTAGGGCGCAATCTGAAGGTTGCAGGTTCGGCCTTTTAGCAGTGGGAGCGTTATAATGTGACGGTCACTCCCACTATTCGTTTGTGAAAGTTGGCGGTGGTTGGTGATGATTAACTGCCTTCCCTCTAGTCTTTCACTGCTAAATTAGGGACGGCTAGCGCCCTCGTGTATCTTTGCGCGAAATTCATAACAAACCAATCATCAGGCTGTAAAATTTTCTTTATGTATTTGATTTGACAAGTTAACGGGCTATACCTACTAGATAGAATTACTAGTGTATTTTGTAAAGAAACTCTGATTTTTAAACATTGTGTTTTAGATGGTTCAGAAAATATGTGTTTGCTTACAATGATAAAGTATGGGTATAAAGTTATAATATGCAGTAAAACTGAAAACGTCATTTATTGTAACCTAAAAAAAATTGAATTATTTGTTTTCTAATGTGTTGTGTGTTATTTTTGTTTTTAATATCACAGAAATACTCCAACAAAGGAATAGTCGTCAGACAGTGCATCAAAGACTGCAAACCTCAAGGTAAGTTGTGTATTCGGGTTGTCAGTAGAAGGATAACAATGTGTATTATTCCAACCATACAGGCAGATATCTAGGGTACAAACATAACGATTAGTGAGTATGTATTTTCCTAACAACAGAGATAAATATCTGGATTATCAAGGTACAGATACGGATTCATGAATCTTGCCTACCAGGTAGGAGGATATCTAGATTATCAACGTAGATATAAGATGCATGAACAAGATAGGTGGGTGTCTGAGTTTCCAACCTAAAGATAAGTAAGCATAGTTTAAAGACAGGTTAACATACAGAGGGTTGAGTATATTATATTAAAACGATTTTGAATATGCAAATTAGAAACTAACATGACAGCCACAGCCGAAATAAAGTCGGGACATGTACCAGATATATGGGTTCATCAAGATATCCCAGGAATCAGAGATATTTGACGAAATGTAAAATGTTAATTGACTGTATAATGAGAAAAAGGCCCTACAAATCGCATACCATTAGATACAGTGTGATTAACCCTTATAAAAGTACCATGCGTACTAAGTACACCCTATGGGAAGCAAGAGGTTAAAGAACTTGTTTTCTTCATAAGTCATTTTTCAAAGATAATATTAACAACATATCATCTTTATGAGTTAATGACTTTGACCCAACATGTAGTATCTGAGAAAAATTAATATTTATATATTACTACTCTTACGTACATAATACTTCAAAGCTTTTCTGATAGTCTTTAAAAGTATTAATTCGTTTATAGATTTTTAATTATAATTTTAAAAAAATGTTAGTTAAAGAAATCCATTTCCACATCGTCACTAAGTGTTATATGCTGAATTTAAATTATAATTAACTGAGATTACAAGCGCGGAAAAAACCGTTATTGCTGTATTACCAATCAAATTTATGCTCTCTTTGGTGGCTTTGAGAACAGAAGGAGACATGGAGGTGTATTGTTGTCAGACTGATGGCTGTAATGGAAGCCGACCAATGATAGTCGAGATTGTTCCAGAAGTGGCGGCAGTTATTTCTATCGTATTACTTTTATTCTTGCACTAAATACAACAACTGGAAAAGACGAAAGAAAATCTACTTATGGAGCTTCTACCTTCTGTTGCCACCAGCAGAAGTGCACCATCCACAAAATGAACTTTAAAGGAATTACATCACCGTATCTATTAAGACCCAAACTCGCTTCCCACCAAAGCAGGTTCAATAACTACATATAAATGTATATTTGTCTGTATGTATGTATGTATGTATGTGTGTGTGTGTGTGTGTGTGACACAATAGGCTATTTGTTGGTATTGTATTAGTTGCTCTAAAAAAAACTTACATTAGTAAGGCTGTTGTGTAGTTGTGAAAAAAAAATTGTCTTTTAAACAGAACAGCAGTAGAATACTAAGTACATTTACTTTTGTACGTGATTAATAAATAAATTAATGGTCAAAATGATCTTGTTCAATTAAATCTTTAGTTATACCCCTGAGATAAACAGTGAAAGGTTTGATAATTAACAGAATTTAGAATAACAAACTAACTTTGTTGAAATGATAAACTAGAAGCCTGCTACATATTGAGCTTGAATTGAACCAAGTTTTAACTTAAAGCACATTAAAGCTGTAGAGTGAATATTTCGTAAATTCGAACAGAAACATTTTTCATCAACTACATATATATACCTGTATGTATGTGTGTCTGTCTGTCTGACATTCCGTACGTTTTTAGTGATTCCAATGCAGACAGCTGTCACAATTTCTATATAGTGTTCTTATGAGTTCATAGTATTCTTCAGTGCTTTTAGAGAAATAGGAAAGCTCAGTTGTGCTTAATATATAGTTTTATTTTCTTTATGAACGCAATGCCACAATGTTGCATTTTCAACTATTGGACTCTAATCATTTTTGCCTTGTATGGGAATTAACGCCTCTATCACAGTCATTCTTCGATACGTAAACGGTAAACAGTAAATTACTCAAGTAAACAGTAAATTAGAAGTAGTTACATTGAAACTCATTATCATACTGAATTAGTGCTAAACGTACGAGTCAGAAACGTTCAACTGCATTAACGTTTCTCGACATCATTCGAATGCATTTCAAGTACGCAATAATCTTCTGCAAGCTGGGATGAATTTTTTTTATGTCATATCAGAAGATAATTTAAACAGTCAGACCAATACTTTGGTTTACAATTATATTAATTTCTAAGAATATAAAGGAAGCCGTATGTGCAAATAATATTGATGTGGAAGCATTCCAGAATCTTGAGTTAAAGGTATAATATAGCTAATATAAAACATTTAAAAGATTTTACTATGATGTTAACTTAGTCAACGAGTGCTCGATGGTTCGGCAGTAAGCTTGAAGGCTAAACGTTTGTGGTTTATGTTACTGCTTTTTACTTAAAAACGAACAAACAAATAACATAGTAAAAATCCAAGAATAAGAAAACAATATTATTTTGTTCAAAAATTTAAAGAAAGCTGAACTTCGACAGTAAGAAGAAGATAATATTTTTATCACACGAACAATGTTATTTTGTTCTACGCAGGCGATATTAACAAACCAATGTTGAATAATCTCACCTTTTACTGCTCTATTGTTTGTGTTGGTCACACTAACAGGTAGGAGTAAAGTGAATTTTTAAAAATAAAATTGATATTATTTTACAGATAACAAAAGTCGTTTTCGAATAGAAATCTAGATTTATAGATTAATGCTTTCTTAAGAAAAAACTTTTATGTGAACGAATAACAAAATAAGCACGAACTTCTAGTCCTTAATTTTATTCTTCCCAGTCATAATTTTCACAAGAGAGAAGAAGTTAAACGTATAAAACATCATGCTTAGACCTTATAGGCACCAATTCAAACACTTCTGCATATTTCTGGCTCTAAACAAATACAATCCTTTATTACAAATGTTTTTTGCTCTTGTTAAAATTTTTCAGTTTAGATGTATTGTAGAGATGTCACGTGGTTCGATAGAAACGGGTAGTCACTGATTGGTACTGTCTAAAAGTGTAACGTGTGTTGCAGTTGTTCTATTTGTTTACTATATAGTAGGATTAATGTGAAAAAATGACTACAGCTTTCAAAACCTGTAATCGTGTGCTACAATAAAAATATTGTTCTTACAAATTTGTGAATGGTCCTCTTTGTTTCAAATTTATTTTATTTGTAATAGATATTAAAATAAATATCGACAATAATATTTGACATTTTCTTAAATTTATAAAAAAATGGGTATTTGTTAATAGTGTAGTCATTTCATTATTATAACTTTTAAAGGTTCCATCTCGAGTCAAATCAACTTATAACTTATAACAATCATTTTATTGTTGAAGTACCTTTATAAAGTAATCAGCCCATTGTTGAAGCATACGTCTTGAGTGTTACCAACTCATTTTTGAAGTATAAATCAGGAGTGTAATCAATGTTACGAATATAAACAATTTATTTATTTATGAACGTATAAATCAGTATCTGTCTTAAGGGTAATTAGTTTTTGATATAACATTCGGGATAGGTCTAATTGACCCATTTGTGAAGGACATGTATATCCGTCAAGGGAGGGAGCGGGTTTAGCTTAGTGGATAGGCTGTAGATCAGAAGGCCTAAGATTCAAGCGATTGAATACGATCCGTTTTTTCAGCTGTGGGTGCGTTATAGAAGACACTTATAATTGGATAAGGCCTCAAGAGTCTGACAGAGCCAAACTTTTAAACTTGTGGATATCTGAACAACTTTCCACGGAAATATGGACTTGTTAGGCTTAACAGATCAGCACTTCTTAAACTGACAGATATCGAAAACACTATCATACGTCTCTGAAGTTGGTGGGTTTGATACAATTGAAGAGTAATACCCATAGAAATCTGACACAACATTCCATATACAGATAATGTCCTGTCATTATTGAATTTGAGAAAATTAATTACCTTGAAAATCAACTTAAACTTAACGTACTTTAATGCCTAACATTAAAAGCTCTCAAACAAAAAACATAAAATATGGAAAAGGCTCTTTTGAAGTTTTTTCACCTGGACGTAAACATTGTATATTGTGAACACGTTTCTTTCCCCATTTGGCCATCGCTTACTTAAGGGTTATTTCTTACATCCGTTGTTTACTTTAACAGTTTATTCTCTGGCATGTTAAGAGAAATAAATTGTTGTAAATATTTGGTATTAAATCTATATTGATATATACTTTAATTCCGCAACCTTGAATAAACTAATACGAAAAACAAATTCTGGGAACTTTTGATTTCTAGAATCTAAAATATACCCTCCACCTCCTGAGCTTCAGCGATATGCTTGAGTGCTTTTGACACTAATATTCGGAATTCGGTCGCTGTTTTGGGCACGACAAAGATATCTCCTTGCGCTTAACAACAAACAAACTACTAATGTACATAATAAAACTTTAGGACTATGAAACTGACAAACCACCTATGATGGATTAGCATCAACAAGCAACAAGTTTGAAAATATGCTCTTTGTGATATAAACACTTTTGTTTTATTTTGTGATCGCGATAAAGAGTTAATTGGAGATGATAGTTTCGAGGAAAATCAATTTGTATAACTTTACGGACATTTAGTGAATATTTAGGAATCCTAACAAAAGTTATTTGTTTCATTATTCTCGTTTAGACTTAATTGTAGAGATATAATAACATAACCTGAATTGGAAAAATGGTCATAGATACATATTTAAAAGGTGAATATAAGTTATTTATAGATCTAGAACTGCCATTACTCAACTAACATACCCAAAGTTATAGTGATTCGTTTGTTTGTTTGAAGTTAAGCCCAAAGCTACACAATGCTCACAACGGGTATCGAAACCAGGTTTCTAGCAAGGTAAGTCCGCAGACATACCGCTGTGCCAGTTATAGTGAAAGATAGCCTTACCTGAACCAGTCTATGCGTCATACAAAATTTTATGTATCAGGAAAAAAAAACAGATTAGTTATACGACTTTTCACCAGACTTTGTGATTTATAATAAACATTCCGTAACTATTCTAAAACAAATAATGAACTGACAATTATTTATTCAAACACGTTGTTCAGTTGTCGGTTTCATCTGTTCAGCTTTGCCAAGATTCTGCCTTATTTATCTCGTACAAGTCATTCACTGCCAAACCATAATTTTTTTTTAATTGCTACATGAATTTGTTTTAAGCTCCCAGCCGGTGCAAACTTGTATGAAATGATTTAAGCAAACAACAACAACAACAAAAAAAAACCTATCGTCGTAGGGAAAACAGTTGGTTTGGGAAATATACGGTTATGCCATTCAAAACATAAGTAAAACATGCAAGAAACAGTGGTGTCTAATGTTTGAAAATTTTTTGTGATCTCTTAATTTCTCCAAGTTATTCAATTTTTTTATTCTTTATTTTTTTATATAACAAAACCCCTTTCTTACAATGATACATCCGAAATTATACGCGAATTTTTCAAAATGCTTGGTATAGTGTGATGGTTAGGACACAATCTGCGGATCACAGGATCGAAACCCGTTGCCGAACATACTCGCCCTAATTTCAGCTTCGGGAGCGTTATAATGTGACGGTTAGTCCCACAATTTGTTAATAAATAGTAGCTCAAGAGTTGACAATGTGTGGTGTTAACTAGCTGCCTTTTCTCTAGTCTAGTCTAGCGTAGAAAGCCCTCGAGTAATTTTGCGAGAGATTAAAAGAAAAATCAAGAAAAACAAACAAAATTATTCATCGAATATTACATAATCTTTCCAAGAAGGAGCGTCAGGAGCAAGTGTTCAAACATCATCAGAAGTCGCAGAATATTCAGCCACTCTAGCATTACTGGAAGCCATGTTACGAGCAAGGTTCAGTGACAGAAGCACGCAATAAATAAATAAATATATACTAAAGTTTCATGAATCATTGATGAACAAATATATATATCAATAACAGTCTTTCTTTACATACAACTTAGTTTTATAATACATTTGTCCACTCAACCGACAGACTTTTATTTAAACTGTCCTATTGCTAACGTTATATTTCGCTGTACAGTAAGTTCCACAATATTTTCTTTTGATCACTTTAAAGTATCCGATGGTGTTGAGGACCGTTCAAAATAATTCTTGTACATTTAAATTATTCCTCTGTCACATGTGGTTATAAATCAGATTGAACTTATACAAACTAGTTTTTAATGATATATCAAGCTTTTAATTCGTATATACAATCTTTCATTTCCAGTTAATACAAAAAGTCACAGCTGAACTAGGGCAAGTCTTTTCCGATCTTAAAACTGTTGATGCCACCTCAGCAAAGGAACGTAACATAAATTGATAGACATTTATCACGTTTTACTACAGATTATATGTCTAGAGCTCTAGCTAAGATTTATCGCAGTACGTACGTGGACTTAGCTATAATTTAGGCATGGATTTATCTGTGATTCTGACCTATGTCAGTAACAACTCCCCGAGGTAGTTTCATTAAGTTTATCAGTAAAAGCCTAGATTTAACTGTGATTTAAGCATTTAATAATAAGTTTAATTTAACATGGATTAAGGCCCAACAATAATAACTTAGAGTTAATCGTGATTAAGGTTTATCAGTAATATCCCGACTTACCAAACTAGATTTAGCTACGATTATAAAAATAACTTAGATATACTTCTGATTAGGTCGTGTTAGTAATGACTCGGATGATTAGAAAACATGATTTCCAACATAAATATATTTGTTATTAATCAGATAGTGTAATACACGTGTTCATGTTTAGCTTGAATAATTATGAAAAACATCTAGGAAAAAATAGATTCAATCGATTTCTCTATATGAGTAATCAACAGATACTATAAAAATCAAATACAAACCAATGTACTATAAGAAGACATAAAAACGTTACGTAGGATGTACATATGTCAAAACAAGAAGCAAATACTGATCATTTCATAAAAATAACTCTTTTATAAAGCTGCTGTTCGTTCTAGTGATGACAACATGTCAACCAGGGAACAAATGACCACGAAAAACCCAATAAAAACCAGCAGGTGATCGTAAATGTGGCACGAGATAGGTAGTGAATTCAGGGTAATCTGCAGTTTGATAGATAATAAAAACAGACACAAGAACTATTGTACTAGATATGTGATGTGACAAACATGATAGCACTGGTACAATATATATATATATATATTGCTGGAGTCATGTTTTCTATCAGTAACGACAAGGTGGTACACGTTGTTATAGAAGCGATATGCATATAACGTCACTGGTAAAAGTAGAAGCACATCTCACGTTTTCTCATGTCTGTCTTCTAATACACTAATACAACCAACATCATCCTAGACTTAATGACTTTGTGGTGTTAAATATTTAACGTGTGGAATGGTTAAAGTCAACAAAAACGACCTGAAAGTTTAAACTATTTCGAAGACAATTCTCTTCCATTTTTGAAAGCACTCCAGGTCCTAGGTCCTTTGTAATGATCCATTGTGTTATGTAACTTAAAACATAAGACATGACAGGAAGACAACACATGGTTGTTCCAGAAACTGTTGGGTGTTTCTAGCATGAATTACTGTCTCTCAGTATTAATGTAAATTGTTGTTTGAAATCATGAATTGAAATGTTAGTATATCTCAGAACCAATGCGAGTTACATAATATGTCGGTACTAGTGAAAGGATAACATTCACACTTGGCAATACATGATTTCAGTGGCTACTCATACAATGACTGTCAACTTTCTTTGTTTCATAAAGCTAACAAATAAAATAGGGATCAAGGTCTGTAACCCAATTAAGTTTAGTGGTAAATAAAAAATATTTCTTCTTCACAGTGTGCTGAAACGCTTGTGGGAACTCTACATGAACTAAATCTTACAATCCGCAATCTGTGTTCTGCACTTCACGGGTATCCAAACCGGATTTTTTAGCGTCGTAAGCCTACCGACGTACCACTGAACCAAATGGGGGAAAACGGTGAATAAACGAAACATGATGAATAAATGAATTCAGTCTAATACAGAAATTTCTATTACTGTCAAACGTTTATTATCCCAATGAAGTTTCATTGTTATTAAAAAATCATCTTCGTCTGAAACCAGTGAAACTTAC